TTACAGAGAAACCATTATGTCAATAATATCCTTTGCTACCACATAACTACTCTATGCATCAATTTTTTTTTTTTTTTGCAAAATGCTTGGGACATGTCCTCTATCAAAGTCTAAATAATGGCTTATGTGTCACTCTCTACCTTTGCAACACATCAAGTTGACACTTCATACTTTATCATGTTGTCCCTGCTCCCTCCATCTCCATTAGCTTTGTTATATTAATAACTCTACATTGAAATATTATTCTTAAGTCTTATGTCGTATCATCATTGATTGCTCTGATAAGTCACCTCATATTGTCCTTATATATTTAGTTGTTAACTAGAAAAGAAAAAAACTTATAGAAGAGCTCTCATAGTATCACTTGCCTATTGATTATGAGATCAAGTCCTCCCTATTCACGCTAAAGATCATGGAGGAAAATTTACTAGCAAAGTTTGAAATAACGACACTTGAACTTTGTTTTGGGACATTTAGGCCAATTAAGGCAAACACATACACAACACATACACAAGCTTCGAACCTAGGACCTTTTGGTTGGTATCCAAAGCTCCCAACCAATAAACTATGGTGAGCTACATAACACTTAAACTTTATAAAGTCATTAATGAGGTGTTGGCCTATGGTTCTAGTTAGGGGTATAAATGAATTTAATTAAGCTCCATCATCATTAGCATGAGTTTGAATTTGATTAATTAATTGAGTTCAACCTCGAGCTCGAGCTACCTCACGAGCAAACTCATTTATTATAAAGAGAGAAATGATCATGATTCAAGTAATTATTATAATAAAATGCTAAAAAGAATGATAAATTAAAAGAAAAGGTTAATAATCACTTAGAATAATAAAGCGAGATATATTTTTTTAAAATATTTTTTAATAACTTTGTTCTCAAAATCCTAAATGTTAATATATCTTAAGTTTATTTTATATTAATATTTTTAAATGAGTCAGCTCATGAGCTAACAATTTGAGACAGGAATAGCCAAAGCTTTTCTCGTTAGTTCATTGAGTTAGGCTCACGAGTCATTTATCATGTTGAGCTTGAGTTGGCTTAACTCACTTAATTTCACCTCTAGTTTAAACACATGATCATGGTTATTAGAGAAGCTGCTTGAGGATTTCAATCTTCCTACCAAGACTGTCATCCCTTTTTACTTGAGCCAATAACATCTACTTACAAACAAGATAAGTAGGCAAACTATAGCTGCCATTTATTGAGTGATACATTTCAAGTGCGCTTTGTATACAAAAATGGCTTGACATGATCAACGGTTGTACACTATATTAAGTAGCTCAAAGTTATAATCTATGAATAACTTGACTCTTGCAAGGTAAGTTTTGCTCACATGTTCTCTTATGAGGCTATTTCGTTCACAAATATTGCCCTTTTTTCTACTTGAAACTTTGTCAATGACACCATAATCATCCGAGTGATGATGGAGTTCTATGAGGTGATGTGTATCTTTGTTGATATGGATAGCTCATTCAATATCATCTCCTCATGCGTGCTCAAATTTTTTGGGGTCTAAAAATTTTGGTACTAGAAGGAGACTACATGAATTTTGCTAGTGGAAGGAGGATGTAAAACTGGGTGATCTCCCTAGAGGTTACTTTAAAGATGACAAATATTTTATACGTGGAGGGAGGACTTGGTGTTACTTTGGGCACCATCTACATGCAATGAAATATTCATCCAACAACTTCTCAATAGTTTTTTTATACATTATGTTAAGGTATCAACTATACATCAAGTTACATGTTGTAAATAGCCTTGCATTAGTTTGGAGGGATCTGGTGACATCTAAAGGTCTTGTTTAAACACATTGAAGGATAATCTTTACTAGTCAATCCAGTCCCGAGATGCGTAAAATTTGATTGGTCATTAAGTGATCAAATAAATCTGATATGTTCATGTGGATCCTATTCATGAGTCCAAGTTCATAAAAAGTGATTAAATATCTAATAAAATTAACTTAGAAGTAATTTTAGTATGTTTTCTTGGGAACCATCTAAGATGTTTGTCATTATTCTGGCATTACAAACCATTAACTCCACCTATGGATAGTAAATTGATTTAAAAGAAAAGTGCAACTACTCCAATAAACTTCAAGCCATACTTGAGGAGTAAGTAAAGAAGTTGCTTTTAAGTTTATCATGAAATTTAGTAATTTTGAATAAGTATCCAATTTTATGATGGTGGAGAAGCCTAATGACAATTAGAGGATGTTTGTGGACTTAAAAAAGTTCAATGATGCATACCCAACAGACTCCTACCCACATCCAAACATTGTTATGATTGTCAACATAAAGGTCAAACATAAATGATTGGGCTTCTTAAATACATTATTTAGTTACCAAAAAATAAAAATATTCTTATTTCTTTGAAATATAAGTTTTATCATTAACAAATGAATCTTTCATTACATCATTATGTCATTAGATTTGAAGAACTCAAATACCAGTGGAAAACGAATAATATTATTTTATATTAAAATGACAAGAAATATTAAATTTTGTATCGATGACTTTTGTTGGAGAGAAATTCATTATTTAAACACTTCAAATATATGTCAAAGATGTTCACCACACTTAAGAGACTCAATATGAAGTCCAATATAGTGCCAATGTTACTAATATTTTTTTTATTTATGCAATTATCACATCAATTGGTTTATCCATAAATATTGACAATTTTTTAACAAATGTGAAGGCCCCCATTGCCATTCAAAATCAAGGATGTCTAGAAGCTAACCGATAAGCTTTTAGGGCTAAGTTAATAAATTTCTTAGTATGTCAAAAGTTGGATGGTGTTCAATGAACTTAAGTAATTCTCATCCTTAGATGCCCTCAACTGCATGACATGCTTTTTCGAAGATGGGAGATTATTACTTTGTAGCAAGCTTAGTCCTAGACTGAGAACAGAGGAGGTGAAAACCACCTATTTATTATGTTAGTCATGCCCTCATAAATTCGGAGAGAGGATAACCCTTGATTGATAAGTTGTTGATAACATTGAACATTTTTTTGGAGGATGAGGCCCTACTTTCAAACTCATGAAATTATAGCCATGATTGATCAACCCATCTAAAAGGTGTTATAGTTACCTTAATTATCATTTCAGCTTATGCAATGATTTAGTAAATTAAGTAAATATGATATTGATATGTTTCTTGACCAACTATAACAATGCAAGTATTGATAGATTTTATTATCAAAACAATAATAGAGGAAGATAACTAAGATTTTCCAAAATGCTAAGAATGTTTCTAAATATATTTCATTAAAAGAGACTTGAAGGAAAATAATATTAAAGTTAGTGTAGGCTCATGGGTTTTAGTTAGGATTCAAAGCAACTGCTACCAATCAAATTATAAATTCATATCATTTTGACTCAAGTAGAGGAAAATTTTGAGTTAAGAAGTTAGTGTTCCATGTTGACTCATAATTGTTCATTAACTAGATTGTTGGAACATATGAAGTGTAGAATCCAAATTTGACAAAGTACTTAGCAAAGTTTCTAATAAAAATATTGATATTTAATTAATTTAACTTAAATCATCCACCTTGGGAAGAGGGAAAATGGTTGACCTACTTAAAAAAATACATAATTTCAAATATGGCATCGATAAAATAATTTATCATTCTTTCACTTAAGGAGACATAAGTGATACAGATGGATGAATCCCCAACTTGCATGATGAGATAAAGCTATATCTAACTAGCAAAAGATTGTTAGCAATGAGTGACATTATGAGATCAATCAAGTGTTAGTTAGCTTAATACTATATTTCAGGTGACTTTCTCTTCATGAAAAGTTTATTTAGGATTTTTCTTCATTGCATAGCATTAAGTAAAGTTGAAGAAATGTCGGAAGGGGTTTATTACATGTAGTTTTGGATTCATTTTGTTGCATAAGGTGGTAGCTTGGGTTGGGTATCTATCGAGGCTGGAGTTGAGTGGTCTTTAATGTATCAGGGACTTCATCTAATACGCACAAGGAACATACTACCATTGAGAGTGCTTTGGGGTTGTCAATGAGGAACCAAGTGGTGGCAGAGCAATGTATGGAGCTGATGTCAACATTTGGTCCATGGGTGGCAAATTTTGAAGCCATCAAACGCATGCAAGTGCAAAAACAACATGAGTTAGGTGGTGAGTTCCAAGTTGGTGGATGGATATGCAATAAGTCTATGTGATGAGCGTATGGGCAATAAGCGATCAAATGATAGACATGATTTTATTAAAAGGTCAAAATCGATAACAACAAATATTACAACTAAAAAGGTGCACCAAAGAGGAGAAAGGGGAAGAGAATTAACTTTTACACCTCCTATGGGTGCAGAATATGGAGGTGCCTACTGCCACATGGGGTGTGTACACTTAAGCATAATGAAACTATATGGTAAATGCACAATAACAACTAAGATGACCATGTGGACTTTGAAATCAGATGGCCTAAAATTGAGCGACATGCGTGCAGTTTGAGCGATATGCTCTCACAAAGGACAAGTGAGATGCTAGTGAGGATATGTACTAATTACTTTGGAGATGATTAGAAGGGTTTCCGCAAGCACGAGAGGGAAGAGACAATAGTTTGGGATGTCCATGCTGCAAGCGCTAGAGTGCCATGATCTTGGAGTGTATTAATAGACTATCACATAGAAAAGAAAAATTATTCTCTATGATTGGATTAATTTCAAAAGCTAAGTAGTTTAAAATTTTATCAAAATTTTAAATTTTAAATCAAGCACTGATCAATTGATTCCAATAAAAATAATGAATAAAATTATTTCCTTCGACAAAAAAGACTTCTATCGTATTCCCTTGAAAAATAAAATCTTACCACATAAGTGTCCATTTTATCATCATATGAATATCATTACTGATGTGGGGAGAATCACCAAAGAAGCATGATGGATAAGAAGAAGAAGAGCTAAACAGCTCTTGAAGATCAAAAACAGTAAAAACTGTTTCAAATTCCAAAAATATTCTTACATAGTCCAAAACTATATACCCATATAAAAGTTAGTATCATAATATATATTTTACATAATGTAATTTCATAAGCTTATTCTTAACATTCATCAAATAGTCTAATTACACAAATGAAAAGAGACAATGATATTTTTTTGTTCTTCTTTTCTTTCAAACAAATTGCATGATCACAACATCAAATCATCTCCTTCGCAAGCATAATTGAATCCAGTTGAAATGATATGAAGGCAACATCAAGCAAACTCTCAAGTAGTAAGAATTGCAGGAAGATAGTCAGACTTGGTGCCGAGAACCTTAGCTTTGGTGTCAGGGAAGAACTCCATCCATGGCGACACAACAATCTTTCCATTATTTGTTATGCTGATGGGGTAGCTAAGCAGGTGACCTGACAAATCGTTGTACAATAAAACTCCCAGATACAATTTCCATCTCTCCTCTGCATTCTGCCTCACCTTGAGGACACACTCCTTACTTTCGGGACGAAGGAAGGTGTCATCGATCATTCCCAAATGCTCGTACCACAGTGATAATCGAAAGCCGTGGATCTGACCTCTTGCAGGTTGGCTGGAAGATAAATGATTGGGCTGGTAAGCTCCCATGGCTATCTCAGTGTCCCTTCCTCCATCCATGGATCTTTGGTTGATGTTGGCTGAGCCCACAACTATATACTCATCATCCACTGAAATCAAATATGAAGAAATTGGCATCATATTAAACCTTTAAAATATAGATTCAAGCTAGCTTTACCGATCATCATCTTGGCATGAACGTAGATCATGAACCTCCTCGCCTGTTGCGCTCTGCTATAATCGGAATCCGGCTCTGGCCGCTCTGGTGGCTCATACTCTCCTCCCCTCTTCACCTCCCGATTGCCTAAACAGAAGAAATTGAGGTAATCACTAGGGCTTACATTACCGGCGATCCCCTTAGCCCTTAATGCCTCCGCCACATCATCGTACATCATCTCCATTGTCCTTCTCTGCCAGTCCAAGATCGCCTGAACTGATCCGCTCTCCGGCACCCCTTCCGGCCACATCGGGACCACCACATAGACCGCAAATCTCTCCCCGGCCTCTATTTTGCTCACAATCTTTAATGATAGCTCCTTGGGAATCAAGTGAAGCGCTCCAATGTCTTCCACTTTGATGCCTTTTTCCTCCTTCCATGCGTAGGAGCTTCCCAGGAAGTATTGGTTCTCGATGTAGATGAAGTTCTTCGCACGTCTTATGGCGTTTATGTAGGCGTCTTGAATGCTGCGATCAATCACGTTGTCCTTACCGGTTATGAGGCCCATCGCCGCCGCCTCCTTCGGTGAGTCTGGGAAACTATGGGCGGCGCCTCCATCAATGGAGCGGAAGACCTGCAACAAAGGTGTTTAAACCTTAATTATTAAAATGATTACAAAGTCTGTTAAAAGAAAAACTAATACCTTTTAAAAGTACAATAATCTATCCCTTAAAAAAATTATAATTTATATATTCAAAACTATTTAACGTTTTATATAAACACAAGTGTTAACAAATTCAAACTGCGCTCCTAATGACAACCTACCTGAACATTCCACGCGTTGCCGTCGCTACGAGAAGCCACCACCGCCTCCTCCTCCGGCAGCACATATAATCCCCCGTCGTTTTCTCGTAGCCGGAGCAAGAGATAATCGCCGGCCCCTTGCTTCCTCCACCGCTGCTCGAAGTTGCAGAGCACGTCCCACGCCGCCGCACCTTCCACTCGGCAATGAACATCATGCCACGGCTCCCTCGGTCCTCCCTTCCTCAACGTCGCGCCGGCGAAGTTCGGCTGGTGGAAGTCGTTTCGATGCTCTCTAGCAAGTGTTTGAAACAGAGAGTGTTTCTGTGTATCGTACCGACCGTCGCAGAGGTCGATGCCTCCAAGGAAGCTCACAATCCTCCGCCTTGCCGCCACTCCCTCTCTTCCTTTACGGCGATGCGTTCCCATCTCCGCCGCCGCTGTCTCTGCATAGTCAACTATAATCGTTTTCTGGTGGTGGGTGAACATGGTGGCAATCTCCAATCCCTGAAATGAAGGGAATCAGAATTGGATCACGAAGAAGAATTCATGCTTATATAGTTATGTGGAGATGAAATATATAATATAAAATTTTAATCTTTTTTAAAATAAATATAATATTAATTATCTATAAATAAATTTTAAGAATCAAATCAATTTTTTTATAAAGATTAAAGATATCTATTAGCGCAAATAATTTCGGATAAAAACCGCAGTACCTGGACGTAGCTCTCCCCGACGTCGGGGTTCCGCGGGCAGAGCACGCAGTGAACGCCGGAGCCACGAAAAAACTCCGCCGTGTCCTGGTCATGCGTCGCCATTACTCCATCCTTCTTCAAATCCCCCACCGAGCTCCGGTCATCCCACACCAACATCAACACTCTCACCCCTTCCCCTGCTTTTCTTTTCAGCATCTCCCCCAGCGTCGCTTCCCCTGCTTGCCCTCTCTGCCCTTCCCTAACCAAACTAATCTCCGCGTACACCGACCACCCTGCAACGTAAATAAAACGCCTCGCTCCCGAAATCGCATCGAACATATCCTCCCAACAACGCCCCGGCCGAAACACCTCGCCGCCGGCGAGGAGTATTCTTGGAACAAAACTCCCGTCGACATGCGCGTCGTGGTAGAGCGTCACCTTGCATCCCTCCCTCTGCTTGAAGAAAGTGTTGGGGATTCCTCTTCCCCATCCGCCCATATCGCTGCCGGCGACGGCGGTGTAACGAACTTTGACGTGAATACGACCACCGAGGGGGCGGAGATCTTCGCCGCAGATGTCGAGGGAGGAGTCGATTAGGGTGTTGTTGATGATGGAGGCGACGGGGAGATAGGCGCGTCCTAAGAGGGTGGCACCGATGGGGTTGTCGGATTTGAGGGTAAAGATGACGTGTTCGGCCATGTGGGCGCAGTAGATGCGGAAGGATTCGTGCCAGCGAGGGTTGGTAGGGTCGCCGGAGATCATCAGACGAGTACGGCCAACACGGGCTTTTTCTAAGTCGACGGTGGCGTATAGTTTGGCCTCTGGTGCCCACCCCAACACGTTCTCGATGTCGCCGGCGAGCCGCTGCAATTTGTAAAAGTTGTTAGCGCCGAAGAAACCAAATTGGTGGGTTTAATGAAGGGATGGAGAGGAAGGGAAGTGTGTACGTACGCTGGGCAAGCAGGAGGAGACCCGCTTGATCCAAGAAAATCTCCTTGCAAACCACTTCAATGCAGATTTCAATTTGCAGTACACGCAAAATGTGAAAAATGTTCAGTTTTTTTAACTAATATACAATAATTCTTGGAAGGAAGAAAAGTTTTCTTCATTTTAGAGAATTCATTTAATTACAAGAAAAAAATTTTGAGTTCATGATATAAAATGGAAATTTTTTACGTTACAATATTTTTTTATTAAAATATATTTAAACTATTTTAAAATGAACATAATACTTAAGAAATATTTTTAAATTCATTCTACGAAAATATTTAAAATTAATGATTTTATGCTATAGTTGAAGAGATTACCCTCCTGCTTAACCTTGTTGCACCATTTGGCAGCCCAAATGGGATTTGCAATCCTTTGGCCTCCAAAATGTCCACATGCAGAATTCCATGAAGCAAAATCATTTTCTTTTCCCCTCAAAGCTTAGCCTTCAGGAATTCAAGAATCATAGTTACAGAATAAGATGCATTGAGACGGCTAATTGTTAAAAATTAAGAATTTATTTTGGACGACTTTTTTTAAAGTTTTTTAAATCAGTTTTTTAGTACAAAAAAATTAATGTTTGTACTAAAAAATTATTTTAAGAAGCCGAAAAAAAAAATTGTCCCAAACCAAGCCTATTTGTTATGACTTTAAATTATCAGAACCATAAGGATATTTTTTATGATTATTACATCAATCTATTCATATAATTTTATGAATCAAAATAAAACTTAGGGGATGCTTGGTTTGTTCTATTATTAGTGTAATGTAATTCAAATGCAAGCCTTTTGAAAATTATGGTGAATGAAATGAGATTCATTGGTGACTTTGGAATGTAACATCTAATTTATTTTTTGTGCAAGTTGAGCCCCCCTATAAATTCTTTATGCATTCAGACACAACAATAGTTTGAACTGGCCTCCACCGTCCGCTATCCGCCATCGATGTTGTCGCTAGTCAATAATTTGCCCGCACTGATTGCCATCATGTCTGCCAATTTTCGTCATCATCATTGCCAACCGCCGCCACCCCGGAGCCATCATCGTCACTGTTGTCTACCTCCATCGCTACTATTGGCCAAAATGATCAAAGTTTTCCATTCAATTCATTTAATTTTCTTACTAAAAAGATACTTTAAGAAGCAGTAAGAAAACCGTTTCAAACGAAGCCTAAATATCTTAGGCTCACCAAACTAATAGATGTAGGCAGGCTTCAATTTAGGCTTCGTTTGGAACTACTTTATTACTACTCTTCAAATCAACTGTTTAGTAAAATTTTTGTGCTAAAAAAACTACTTTAAGAAATAGTAAGAAAGCTGCCCCAAATGAGAAACTTTTATTTGGTTAGATGACTTGACGTAGCTCTACGTTCGGACGCCAGTAAAATAGTGCCACGTGCTTTTACTCTTTACCGCGCAGCCCGAAACCCGAAACGGACCCATAATTCCGAAACGGACCCATAATTACTATGTTCGCGTATTGCTAGGTATTGGTCGATTTTGCTTGGCAATAACGGGAAATACCATTCTGTGAAGACCAATACCGAGTTTTTCTAGGTATTGCTCGGTATTGGTATTGACAGAGCGGTATTTCTCATTATTGTCAAGTAATACCTAGCAATACCGAGTAATACCTAGCAATACCGAGCAATACCTAGCAATACACGAACATAGCAATCCCGGGTTCCGGTCCGGGTCGAGTCGTCGGGCAACACGGTAAAGAGTAAGAGCACGTGGCAACATGTTATTGGCGTCCGAACGTAGAGCTACGTCAGATCACCTAACCTAATAATTGTTCCCAAACAAGGCTTTAATTTCATCAAACCAACATACAAACATTATGTACAGCATAATTTTTATAAATCTATGTTTTTGAATCAAGAACTTAAGCAAGCAGAAACTGAACAGACATTTCTCCAAAAAAAATAAAAAAAATCTAATTTCCAAAAACTGAACAGTCCAAATCAATAGAGATTCATTCGATTTCAGTGGAATTACTTGGCGACAGAGATGTGGAATTACTTACCTTCAAGTGTTGCTTGCCAAACAAAAAGAAGTTAGAAATCAAGCAGACCAAGCAGAAGCCCTTAAATAAGAACAAGAAAATTTCAACCAGAGCAGAGAATGTCTTGCCATATGAACAAAAGTGGGAGCCACAATAGCGGGCTCAAGTTAAGGATAACTGGTAGCAAGAAGCAAGAGAAAGGATCAGAACATCTTAGATAAGAAAATAAAAATAAAAATGGATGACAATATTTAATCAAAATTTTAGGAGGATGAGCCTAAGTTTTTTATATGTTAATTTTGTATAATGTTTATTTTAATGATTATATATATAAATATTTAATATTTTCTAATAATTTCATTCTTAAAAATAAAAATGGTAAAGGTAAGTAGTCTTTGGATTGAAGCTTAGATGTAATGATATTTTTAGTTTTATTTCGATCTTCTAATTTATATATATTCTTTTGTAGCCTATAAAAATTATTGTATATATTATTTTGGACTCTATCGGCAGAATGTAAATATTGACTATTATAGTAATGTGAATTATATTTTTCGTTGTTTATTAATTTTCTTTAATAAAATTAATCAGTTATAGATATCAAAATAATATGGATGCTTATTTATCTAGTTATTAAATGAAATAGAATGAATTGAGCATGTACTAAAGAAAAAGAAAAAAAAAAGAAATTCTTTCATTTTAGATCTTGGGGAGTACACAAATACTGCCATTGCAGTCGTCGGTGCCACCAATCAGCATTTGCTGCCACCATTGACATCAACTTCTACTAGCCACTATCATTATTGAATTTAACAGTATGTTCATTTTCTTTCAAATTGATATATCAATAAAAAATTATCTTGATCAAGCATAAATCTCAAAGCAAAATTGAGTTGAAAGCTTTCGAAATTAAATCAAACACCATATGAGCTCCGATTTCAACAAACTTATAGTCAAACTGGACGTCTCAGAAAGGCAAACCCATCCACACCAAATTCGACTCAATCCGAGCCCAAATGGGTCCAAATCAAGGGGACGAATTAAGCGCTGTTGAAGGGTTCAAACCATAATTTGGATTATCAAACAGTTTTCAAATGTGTCATGCTTATAGTCAAATCGAGCGGCTTGACGAG